GAGCTTTCCATCGGAAGAAACCTGGAAATCATCTGTTGCTTTACGTTTGGTAGGCTTTTTTGGATCCGTTGCTTGGGACGAACAAAAATATGAAGTCAATGGAGGACTTTAAAATTCATTCATCTTGATGGATTCAGACGTTCTCTCGTATAACACTTCTGAGATCCATTGTTAGCAAAGAGTGTCTTCAGATACAGCAATTTCAACTATGCATTCTTGAGCTACATTTTCTACTAAACATTCTCAGAGGAAAACATCTTCCAACTGTTGCCATGACAGTACCGTCCGCAAGACGATCTTGAGCTAGTTCATGTGGCTATGGATTCTCAGTAAGTCTTTTTTTTTTCTCTTTCTTTGGCCGCAAAAAAGTTAAAATCATGTATAGCGCAAAACTCTTCTGTCATCAAATGTTCAATGATATTGTAAGGATTAAAACAATATCAACCTAGCAGAGTAACTTATCTAACTGTTCATGCATGCTCCTATTTTTCCTGTGGTTTTTTTCTGTGGAATTATCGTTAACTAAGTGATTTTGAACCGCTATGAATTTTATTATTTTTCGCTTATTATAAGCAAACAATATTCCCTTCAAAGCTAACATTTTACTTAAGCGCAAAAACGTACCTAAGCATCCTGGATAACGCTATCTAAGGGATAAATTGCTACACAGCGGATAAGCGTTTACAAACGTACTACGCTAACCTCCGGATACAGATTTATCCACTGGATAGCGTTATCCAGCCTTCGAACAACTGGGGCCTGGATGCTAGGAAATGTCTTACCCACAACCCTCTGTACCACTCCCGGGTCAAGAAAATCCACAGGCTCTTCTTCAGTTCCCTCTCGAATCCAGGCTTTTGGACCTTTCACACGTTCATCGGCTTGACCTGTTTTGGCAGCCTGCGAGTCGATTAAAAAGTTTCAAAATTCTGTTAATTATTGTTTCCACGGCATTTCCCTATGCTCAACAAGAACAAATATCATCTTTCTTAATTCAGGTTCCTACAAAGATCAGACACTCATCAGTAGTAAAACATCCCTAATATCAACTTGAAACAAATGTGGAAACGGAGTTGAAGCATGTTTGGAACGGGTGTTGATACCTGTTTCTTTTTCTTCATACCAGGTCTCTCCTCCTCTTCATCTTCTCCAAACATAAGATCTTCATAACTAAAAGTAAACGTTGCACTGACGTGAACTCTAAGTAGGTGGTACAAGACAAACTAAATCGGATAGTGCGATCTACGAGCTACGATCGCGGCGTAGAACAGACCGCAGTCGCTTTGAGACGTTTCTCATCAACTGAATGATTGAACACTTTCCTGAACGCAAACTGTTCACTGAATAGTGTAATGTTAAACGAACTTCACTGGAACCTTCGATCAAACAACACCTACGAAAACAGAAAAGTGTCCCCTGTCCGTTCAAGGCAGCGATTAGATACAAAGGATAGAGGAACTTCTTTTCAGTATGAACAAGTTTGTATATAGCCTTTAAGAGAGGTGCTCTTGGAACAGAGGTATATCATATCAGAGGGCCCTCCAGAATTTCCTCCTCGAATCATCAGGGCGAAAAAAAAAGTTATGACAAAAAAGGATTAAAAAAAGGTTTCTTTCGTTTTACTCCGAACTCAGAGCGTTCCCAAATACACTGGCAATATTAGTACAACTGGTGTATAAAAGTTCGATAAATGTAAATCGATGATAACCCAAATGCAATCCCTTTGTGCAGTGGGACTGGTGATGCAATGGCGTTGTTTACTCAAGCTAATTTTGGGACATGCGCCTCCGCTATATCAAAAACCAACCTTTCAAGTTGTGGCGATTCTTGATCGAATCCTTCTTTGTCCTCGTGCTGGAGAGATTGAATTAAGTCGAATTACGTTACAAACAAGACTCAACGCTGGAAACGAAGGTACCCAATTACAGCTTCTACAACTTTTCAAAACGCATTGAGTCTCTAATGCGTTAGCACCATAGAGCTACAGTGCAAAGAACAGGGAACAACTTCACGTTTAAAATTTGAATTCGATATTCCTGTTGGTATGTTGCTCTTTTCCATGTAAATTGAAGGTAGCACAATACACACGCATACAAAACTATACTATATTAACAGATAGCAGCATTTTTAATGATAATACGACCGAGTGAGGTCCAATTAAACAAGTGATTAGCAATGTCAGACGACCTCGTAACAGGATATATACACATAAAAGAGGTGAATATATGAAAATGATATATATGGACTGCGGTTTAAGAAATAAATATGAAAGTGATATTCGCAGTAATGAAAACTACTTGAGCGGTAGTCAAAAAAAGGCCTGAAAAAAAATTCAGGCCTGTACGGGGCCTGTACAGGGCCTGTACAGGGATTTTAACCCAGGACCACTGCGATACCGGTGCAGCGCTCAACCAACTGAGATAACAAGTCAACTGGGAAATGTTCTTTAAGTAGTGTTCATTACTGCCAAGATTGCTTTCATATCCAGTATACACATAATTGGACATAAAGTCCTGTAACCAATCAGTCAAAATTACGACAAAATTTGAACAACCAACTTCAAGTAATACTCACGGATTTTCTGTCTCTCCTTGCCGCCATTTTCTGCCTCTTTAGTCTCTGAGTTGTCTTGTAAGTGTTGTGAACTAATTTTTGATGTTCTTCAGGGGTACACTTGTAGATTGTTTGGTATCTAAAAAACAGAGGAATCACAATAAAATCCGACGTTCGTCATTCATAATTTTTTTCAAAAATAATTTCAAATCATAATATTTCCCGAGCAACGTTAATATACAACGATTCACTAAATTTAAGTTCTAATTGGGTACCATTCTCCCACCAAAACGTATCTTTTGGGGGTTTGATAAACGAGAGGTACACGTCAGTGTATTCGGCGTATACTCTCCAGCGATGGAAAATAGACCATGCAGTTCTTCCCAAAACTGGCCGTTAAAACAAAGAAACGAAATAAAATTTAATTCATGTTCAAGTTTTGATTCGAATTTTAAGAAATTCTGCAAAATCTACATTTCCTTCACAAGTATACCGATATCAAAGTCAAACTCCACTCAACATTTTTCTGAGGTAGCAGGAAAGTAATCAATATAAACAAAACGAGGAAATAACATTACGATTTTAATAAAGGAATCCAACTGAAATATAAACGGCTCAGATTTACTACTACTGACCCAAACTTCCTGAGGAGACGTTCGAACAGAACTTTGATATTGAAGCGAAAGCGCCGACGGGCATCGTCGTTCCAGGCTACTAGACCACCAATCTACAAAAAAAAAGTCCAAACAACATCTCCTAAAAGGGAGTTTCAACAGCACTTGGTCCTTTAATGAATTATCTGAAGCGAGACGCCACAATGATTCAACTCTCAGCAGTTTGAAGTACAGCTTTCCCTTCGCACATAACGACATTTACTACTGTAAACACAAGTTTCACAAAAATAGCTTTTAAATTAATGGATCTTCATTTTTTCACTTACGAGTTCCTGGAGATAGGGAAGCAAGTCCTGTTGGTTCATAACAGATATGATAACCTGTGGAAAAAAATAAAGGATCGTCAAACTTAGAGGTTTCAATTAAGAATTGCAGTAGCAAGAGAACAGTGTAAAGTAACGGGAGGATATTCTCCACGTCTAAAAAACAAATACACTTGTAGCTCAGGCTTTGGAAATTTAGCCAAAGAATTCTGCATTTCAAACGATTATAGTCATTATTTCAATGAGTTTTAGTTTAAAAATCCTGCAATCTCTCTGTTTCGCGGAACGTGAGTTAAAGTATCAAGATGTGAGCGACTTGACCTTAAGTACGTTGCACGATGCGACAGTAATTTCGCGCTGAATGGAGCATGTCACTTGCATCGCTTAAGAGTTGAAAAAGTAAGCTTCCCGACTGTGTATCACTCTAAATATTAGTAAAATTTAGCACCAGGGTTTTCAGCGGAAACCTCGAACGACAAACCGGTGGAGGTCACGTGATCAAGCCCTGTGGTCACGTTCGGAGTTCTCAACAGGCGTTTTCAACGCCAAGAAGTAGGTTTTCACGTAAGTGATTTACCTGAAAATAGGACTTCTTGTTGCCATTTGAAAATCAAACACTGCTGTTGTCTGGAAATTCAATATGGCGGCCTCTTCAATTTGTTGGAGAGGTGTAGCTAAAGCGGTAGAAGCCATAAACGTCAAACGCCAAACGCCTAACCTGAAACTGCCGTTTCAGGTTTGCCGTTAATGCGAAAACCCTGGTGCTAAATGTCTCTATTAAGAAAACCTTACCTTGAAGAAGCCTAGACATGACTTGATCACCTCCCTAGCAGTGGATCGCAGACAAACTAAAATACCTTGTATAAGTTTCTCTAGCAAAGCACTGGGAACATCGTCTGAAAATTGAAAGCGTAAACACAACGTTAACCATTCAATAAACGTAAGGCGCTACTTAACTCGAAATGTGCTTTTGATGCTGGTCTAATACTCACGTCGAAACTCGTACACAACCTTAGACAGGGATATGATAGTGGCACTTATCATGTGCGGTGAGCCCGCGATGCCCGCAACCACCAACTCCAGAAAAGAGATCAAACATTCTAAAACAAAATAAGAGATATAAAATAGTAACAAGTGAATTCAACAGAACGACTAACCTGTAAAATAAAAACACTCAAACCTCTGAAGAATGAATTAACTGTATCCGAAAAAAAACGTCACAAGGCGTTTTCAGAAATGTTGTTATTATTTCAGAGATTTCCTCACCTTGTCTTGTCTTGCCCGACGAACGGAAGTTGGCGTTGCAGCATTCAATCAGTAAGGTCAAGGCCGATGTGCGAGCTTTAACAGCAACTTCTCTGGAACAAAGTATCACCTTAAACAAGACAACGAACAGTAGCGTCTTACAGTCGAAAATTAATTGAAAATTGTCCGCACAGTTAAAACTTCTAGCCCTGTCTCATTAAGTGTCATTAAACCAAGAACAATGTGATCACAAAAGCCAATCAGAAGGAAGAAAACTGAATGTCACCAGGAGGAAATGAGAACTGAAAAAAAAAAAAAACCCGTTCGAAGAACGGGAAAGCGCAAATTATCGACTTGCTATCGTTTACTGTTTGATTTCTTATTGGTTGCATCTGATTGGTTTAGAGGTTTGGGTGACTTTCCTAGACCAACCAGTTAAACAAAACCAATGTAATCTGAGTTGCGTTAGATGTTCCCTTGAAAATCACTCTTTGAGGAAGTTGGCTAACTTACCTCAGGAATTATGGCTTGAATAAACTCTGCAGGGTCTTCCACCTTTTTAACTATATGAGCAAGGCAGCGCAAACGGGGCTAAAAGGGAGAAGAGAAACAGAATTAGAATGTCCTCTTCGCCAAATTTAGACTCGTATGAAAATCAAATGCTTTAACGTAAAAGAAAAGGACCAGAAATTTTTACCGAAATCATTACACGCAGTATTTACGAGGTCCATAAACCCTTCACACCTTAACATCAGCATGGATATTCTCCATACTCTTCTCTATGCATTTCCTACAGTGCTGACAAGGAGAATTTGTATAACAATCAAGAGCCTCCATAGTAAGTGATCATTTCCCTTTCTCCAAAGACCTTAAAGTTTGATTCGGCCATAAGACTGTAAGGAGAAATTAGCAGCTGGTCACGCATAGTGTGAAGGGTTCACGTAAGAGTTTGTACTGCGTGTAAATTGTAGTGCTCCATGAACAGATTTTGATTCATCGCAGGCAGCCCTTCACCAGCTCCTCAAGTTTCTACAAGGCAAACGTGTTCCTCGCCCTCCCCCCCTCTTACCACCTCCCCCCCGCAAGGAAAAAAGAGAGGTAATCTTCTTTCTTTTTATATCCAAGTCGTCACCTTCATACCATGACAAAGAGTATTGTTCGTTTACAAATTATGGTTCAAATTCCCTACAGAAGACTCAGAATTTCTCCTAGGTTAGCTCATCATCTCAACAGTACTCACAGTTTTAGAAGCTGAACTTGACGCCGCTAATGTCTTTAAAAGAATTTCTTGAAGTTCGCTAAGATGTGAAACGACGAACTCTTGGCTGCTCTCAGATTCAGCGCCACAAATCTGTTCCAATACGCGATAAGCCTTCTTCTGCTGCGTAATATCTGTGGCCTTGAATATAAACAGCACGCAGAAGGTGACGCACGACTATTACTTCGTGTCATATGGTTTTACCTCTAACTAGAATGCTTTTAGAGTTATTACAATATTATTTCGAGTTAATCTTCTCAATCCTTGCCCTCCTTGAAGATACATTGCAAGACACAAAAAATTAAGAATGCCAAAAAAAACAAAACAAAACAAAAAAAAACACAAATGCAAACAAAAACCATAACTTTGGTGAAGTTATTAAATCGCGTACTTTGCTATAACATGCCTTTATTAGAAATTTGCGAAAATCTTGAAAAGTTTTCTTTGTTACACGAACAAAACAAGCTCAAAGTGTTCACACTGGACACTTCAATCACTTGTATTCACCTGTAACCATGGCGACGCCAAATCATAGAGCTTCTTTATATTTTGCCCATCCACATAGGGCACCATCGCGATAACTAAGTCCATCATCAAATGTCTGAAAAAAAAAAATTAAAAGTATTATTTTAATTTAAATGTACACTTCCTCAAGTTTTTGCATCATACATGTAAGCAGAGTACATCTACCGTAGATCGTTGTCATTTACACGTACGGTATAACTGACAGCACTCGACTGGTACATGTCTATGCTAACAGTCTATTCTATTCAGAGGTAAAAAGAGAAGAGAACCTACGTTTAAAGCGCTTTGGCTTGTGTCTGAGTTAAGGATTCTGTTTTCATTATCATTATTATAATTTTTAGCAGCTAACATTTCTATTCCATCCTGCGTCATAACTGGTCTCTCTATGATGAGGGGCAAACTAGTTGGCACACCTCCCTTTAGTAGGTAGTGGACATAATAAAAAGCGATCTAGTAATTCACATCTAAGTTACTTCAAATTCCCCTCTCTCTTCTCCCTAACAATGTTGCAGGAAAATTAGGGACCACTTTGTTAACACCAGGCAACATTGAAATGGAGGAGAGGGAGTGACAAATAAGAGTTATGGGAAAAAAGTTCAAATAATATCTAGTACCGTGATTTTCCGTTGCTTTTACCGTCGGTTAACTTTTCAAGACCCTTGGAGAAGAACGTGGCCACGAGCTAGAAGAAGGTATAGGACAAGTTTTAAGTAACAGGATTTTATTATGGCTCGTCCGAACATTAAATGTTTTTATGTAATTCTAGGGGAGAGAATGTTCATTTAGGTCTTATGTCATAAGTTGTGAACTTATTTTAAAATTTCACCAAGCAACGTTTCTTGACTTTCGAGCTAACTTTTGCATGCACCTTAGCCCGCGCAACGAGAAACGCGATAATTTGTGAAAATACTCTTTACCAGGCTTTTCCTTGTGTGCAAGTTTAGGGGAACCAAGGGCTGGTTATTAAAACAGAGAGATCTAATAACTTCAAAAACCCCACCTATAAGGAATATTCGAATTCCATTGATTGTCAAAAAGTACGGCCCAAATTAGACCTCGTTTCAATAACCAACCCCAAGAGTCTTGCATGATTCCTTTTGCTTTTTGGCTAATTTGCTATCTATAAATTGTTCTTCTCCTTCTCTATCCAGCACATTTACAGTGCAAGAGTAACTCGCTATTTTTTTTTTTATCACAAGGAACACGAACTTTGTCTTATCCTCCCTTGCGATGCGGTTTGGCAAATAGAGTAGAATAGAAGGCAAGTTACTAACTTTGTGATCTGTTATGCTCAGGTAAACTCTGATTGTCTCCAGTATTGCCAGTTTATCAGCATCCCCTTCATTGTCTTCCGCAGTGTACAAGTTAAACAGGATTGGAAGGTAGTTCTTTGAGTATTGGGATAACTCCTTTCTGCTTGCATCTGACAGTTGCAGCAAAAAGAAAGTATGATTAGCGATTTGTTACCTTTGCATAACAAAGTTGAGGTAGGGTCTGCATCAGATAAAGAATGACTCGTGTGGTTATCATAGCTGATCCCACAGTGACAAGGAGTATCACCATTCCTCAAAGATGAAATACTAGCCCCTAGCCCTCCCCCTTCCCCACTATTTTGTCGTGATTCCTGCCACTATTCAATGGTACCCATTAAACCCATGTGTGACAGCTGCGCCGGTCCAGCTTAAGAACACAACACAATGTCCTTCCTAAGATCCAACCCTTTTTGATCAGCAGCTCAACGCGATTTACATTGGGCCACAGGGTCTCACGGGAAAAAAATCCATACAAAACAAATATAACGATAGGCTAAAACAAAACGGGAACAACAACAAACTCATATAACCTAGCCCAGGTTGTTTACAGGCTGGAAAACCCTATCCACTGGATAAATCTCTATCCGATCGAAAAGTTAATAAGCTTTTAAAACTCCTATCCGCTGGATTAGCAATGTATGTGCTTTTTAAACCACCGAGCCCTGCTATTCGCCTCAAAACAAGGTAACATACGTCGTTACTTTCTTGTATGTCGCTTTTCGTGCGAAGCGACTGGTTCCCGAGGGGCACGTCTCGTTTTAAAATACGCGAGAATGCCTTTACCTCCGAGGGGCTGAAATTTCAACACGATATCTTCTCATTGTACATCTACACATCTAAGATATGATAAAAAAAAAAAACCAGAATTTCAAGTGATGGCCTTACCATCCGACACCTTGGAAATAAGCAACCTCAAAGCTTGGCACACTGTTGAACGTAAGTCTGCTCTCTCTGTAAGGGCCGTGCCCAATATTCGAGCGACAGACTTGAATGACTGCAAAGGAAATTGATTTCGAAAGATTTAGCTGTATTAAAAATCTTATATTTGTGCGATCAGTAACGTGTAAATATTAATGGCATGGTTTCCTATCACGAATGGCTTAAGTAAAAAAAAACCTGAGTAGAAATATGAACTCTACCAGGCATATGTCGGTCGGTCGAGTGCAAAATCCTGGTAAAAGAGCCCATATCTGAAAAAAAGATGTACATGTATCATTATCAGGTTATCCCACAAGTACAAACTAAAGCGGTTCATTACATATTAAGTAAGCAGCACAAAATACTCGTTTTTAAATAAACTTTGTCTTCGAATATTCCTCAGTTTTCCTTTTACCCACTTTTGTTTCCTTTTGAGATTTTTAGGGACGATTCAATTTTTTTCTGCATATTTTTTATACAATAAAGAAAAAAAAAATGCCAATAGTCTTGCCGCAAGCGCGGGACAAGGAATGTTTTGTTTTTACACAAGTCGATGAGATCAGGTAGGAACATTTACATGCTTATAAACGAGTACAATGAAAGGAGTCCTTAAGTGTAGCCAATACGTCACTTTTTTTGTTTTTATTTTTACCTGTAGTTGCAAAGTGTCATATACTTTACTCTCGAGTAGTTTCCCTGCTTCCTTGAGAGTTGTAGCTAAAAGGAAAAAATTATACACGTGAATCTCTCTTAAAGGAAACTCCTCTGTTAGGAGAAATAGGACGCCAATCACTCTTACGGGTTTAACGGTTAACAAGTGGAAGCAGTCACGTAAACGTCTGGATTGGACTCTTTGGAAGTCGCCATAAGTATTATTCAGGTTTTCGGAAAGAATAAATGCGTACAAAATCAAGGACGTCCTGCTTGTTCCTGTACTGTCAGAGTGCTGTATTTATTTCAAAAGCAGTGCGGCGGGTGTTTTACGACATATGTAAGAAGCTGTCATACCTTTGGCTCTCAGATCAGCTGACAGTGGCAGCAAAACTTCAAAGAAGTATTTTAACTCGGTGTCTTTGATGTTATCTTTCAAAACAGGCAGAAGCCAGCTACGTGGAAAGTTGCAAGGTCCACCTCTGGAACATGAAAGTAAAAATAATGTCTAATGTCAATGCTGAAATAAATAGATTGCAAGGAGTGGACGATGAGAGCTAAGAGAATTGCTATTCATCTTTTTATCATTCTTTAAGTTTGGAGGGACAGCTTCGGGCGAAGAGATATGGACGATATTAGATTAGAACTAGACAAAATATTTCATTCCCTTTCCTTTTCTCATGATGCGTTCGCTTTTCCCCACGCTCTTCCAGCAGGACCGTAAGAGAACAAACAGCCTCAAAGTTTAGGGGAGAATGGATAACACAAAAACTGTTCACGAACATGCACAAAGTAAGCCAGACACACAGTGGGCTCTTAAGGCGCGGGCGCAGGCGTAGGCGCAGCGAAGAATGAGAGCCAATACAGAAAAACTGAATCCCATAAAGAGAGTAAAAATTGCTCATTTTCATCTCGTTACCTCTAGGTTTAGCTCCCACAGTGAGATAAAAAACCGGTCGGAAACATGAAAATCTATAATGTGGTGAGCTTTTCTAAAATCACTGAACATTTTTTCACATCAATGACATTCAAAATTTGTATTCAGAGCTACTTCACTTTGTTGAATAAGATATGACTGTCAACTTGAGAAACAATACATTGTGGTTCATGTACATCTCTTTATGAATGGGATATATTGTTTTAACATGTGTTCAGCTGCAAATATCTTTAGTCTCTCCTTACATTTCCTTGTCGAGTTGAAGAGGCACAGCTTCTAAAACAACCCTGAAACAGAAAAAGTAACCGTAAGACTACTCAAACGTATCTTGAACAATTGCCTCATCAAGCTTACAAAGTGTATAGTAACTATATGCAGTATGCCAAGACGATAAGATTAATGTGAAAGCTGAAAACCTTGTGACTTTTACTTGCCTTTTCACCATGCAAAACTCTTATTACAACAGTGATACAGTGTACAGCTGCAATATTTTCAATATACCTCGATAGAGCAATTTTCTAGTATAGAGAGAAATCCGACACTAATGAATGAAGGGAGTAAGTTTCTAAAAAAGTTGTGGTGCTGCGTCGGTGGGAGAGTATAACAGGTGATTTGGTATTAACAACTCAGTTGATAATACCAAATTTCCTTGTTAATCCGAGCCTACATTGATTTTGCCTTCCTTGGTAAGTGATTGGTCCAAAAACTCCGCCACTTTCCCGACCAATCAAGCCTAAAACCAATCCCAACTCGATCACCCGCGTTTTCCCGCGATTCAATCACTTTACAGGTTTCAACTTTGCTTTCACTTCTTACTGGCTCTTGAGATATTTTTACTTTCCTCTGGTTGGCTGTTGCGATTACTTTGGTTTAGGTTTTTCGACACTCAAACGAAATAGGCTCAATCACAAAAAATTCTTATAACCAATCTCCTAGCTCAGCTGTCAGCAGGAAAGGTTACTAAACAGATCTCTAAAACACTAAGAGCTGTGGTTTTACCACTGTACCTTGGTCCCATTTTCTGTATAGCCATGCCGACGGCTCGGTCCAACTTGTTGACATAAGGGAATTGATGTGTGCCCCGCAAGTCACAGAGGGAAACTAGAAGCTTCAAGAAAGGAACATACACCATTTAAAATGGGTTGCATGATAAGGCTGCCCTCTTGCAAATAGCAATTGTCACGGGCCAATAACTAATGTCTTTTAACAACGTGAGTGAATTAGCTGTGATAAAATTTCTAAAAGCTGAGCACCCTGGTTTTCTGGGACAAGGGCCTTCAGCCAAGTGGTTTTTTCTCGAAAAATAAAAAGTCGCATGTATATGAACAAAAATGCATGAGTACAGTAATAGCGGAGCTCGCAGAGCGTAGCCCCATAATTATACAAAATAGTAGTAACCCATCAAGCCGAAAAAATTGGGACGTACGACCGACCGTACAAGGTGCTACTTTTAGCATGCGCGACCAACTGTACCACGGGCACTATTTTATAATCAGTCCTCTACACGGACACGGAGAAGTTGCAAATAAAAATCCACTTTATCCATAGTAGGGGCTTTAATTTTGTTGAAGGGACGTGCGGGAAAAAAAATGCGAGCTCCGCTTTTAGGTTTGCCTAAATCTATATATTACATCAGAAACTAATGATGACTGTGATGGATTTTCACTCATAAGCATGACAAGAATAGAAAAATAAAGATGACTCCCCACAATTCAAACTTCCCAGGTACACGTAGTACATTAAATGGTTAGAGTTCCTACGAGTTCGAATCATTGTAAGTAAAATCACAATGAAAATGACTCGAAACAAAACCAGTCACACGCACTGGCAAGCGACTGGTTTAAATAGCTCACCTTTCTTAGCAATTTTGGGCACTGGTTCCCTAGGACCTGTTAAAAAGATGAGACTCAGTTGTTTGTACTTCGTATAGGGATGTTTAAATTGATAACAGAGAAGGCCTATACCTAGATGTACGTGTACAAGTCAACAACAAGAAGTACTGTAGCATTAGAGTTTTGTGTAGAGGTAAATAAAACAAGTTAGACAAACAAACAAATAAACTTCGTTCTGACGAAGGGCAAACGCTCGAAAAGTCAGCTTTGAAAATCCACTGGTGGCCATTATACATTATCAAATCAGTTGCTAAAACCAAAATTACCTTTTTATACTCCCCCACCGACGCTGCCACACAGTTTCTGTAGAAACTTAACCCCTTTAAACATATTAACAGGCAGACAAACTCAGAAGGAGAAATTCACCTCGAATGAGACTCTGACAACCTCTAAAATCACAGACCATGATCCTTGATAACGATACTGAAGACCTGACTCTATGCATCTAGAGAAAGATAAAGCATTTCATTACGATGCTATGGCTAACGACAGAGTATTGCCTCTTTTAATGAAGTGGCTAACCCTCAGTTTGTCTAATACAAGAAATCAGAAACCAGAGACTACCAAGGAAACTAACAATTCTTAATGCCCACTTATTAATTCGGTTTTGCCTACTATGTTTCTAAATTGGGGCGCTTTTCAATTGAGTGTCATAAAACCAAAACCAGAGTAATCAAAAGATCTTTAAGAGCCAATGAGAACTCAATGTCACACCAACCAAACTGCACAAAGCACGGAAAAATACACGTGACCAAGTCGTGATTGTTTAGTTTTGCATCTGATTGGTTGAGAGAGTGGCGTAAGTTTTCTAGGCCAATCACAGAGAGAAGTAAAGCAACACCAATTCAATCCCAGAATACTTTCGACACTCAATTGAAAAATGCTCTGTGATGTGAAAGAATAATTTCTGGTCTTCTTTGTTAGTGACAGTAAGAAAAAACCTGTCATATGTGGTAGTGACCATACTCATCCAATTGGCCATTTTCGATCTACTAAAATTCAAACTTGGCTCCAAGGCTTGGGGGACAAAAACAAAAGAAATCACATTGAGATTGAGGGAAGAATAATCAATTAATTTTGCTTTATTCCCTCTAGCCTCGGAGCCATGTTAGAATTTTAATATATCTGAAATGGCCTATTGAATGTTATTGCACGCTACACTGATAAAGGATGACACTCACTTTATAATTTTATGTAACGGGGTAGTGCTCGCACCCGAAGATTTGGTGATCTCTGCACAGACTTCTTCAGCAACTGGAGCAAGACACTCTTGAAGTAAAATCTGCATATAGAAGAAAGTGGATACCGTCACTTTCTAGTTCAAAACATCAGATAGCAAGAGCAGAAACTCCATCTCGAAAGAAACATACACGCCATTGATCCTTCTATAAAATAGTGGCTCAGAATTTAAGCTTTGAGATCTTTATCTTAAACTGCGCAGAAGTCTCTCTCAGTACCCCAAAATGATCCTCTGAGAGGCAAACTCATCAAAATTTTCATCTAGCCAGGTTTTGGTTCAGCGAGGGAAATGTGATTTTATCTTTACAGACTTCTCTACCGTTTGAGGGATAAGTTAAAACCCTGACCATATACGAACACTCAAAACGTGAAACGAATTATACGAAACAGTTACATATTATTTGAACGAAAACTGAGAAATACTTTATCGTCGAATGAGAGTAAACAAGACGTACGGGCGCCAGTCTATTTAGCCAACTTCTCGATCGAGTCCCATCATTCTACAATGATTTTAAATTCTTAGAACAAAGTTTTCACGATCCCAGGTTGGAATCTTACATCATCCAGAAAAAAAAGTGCATTAAGTTTATTGTTCACATCTTAAAAACTTTTGCAAACATATTTTACGAAATATTAGTGGAATCATGAAAAGTCGTTTCAACGTTTCGTTGAAACGGCAGCCATCGCATCCTTTAGTTGTTGAAATTTGAAAATGTTGATTCGATGTTTTGGCGGTGGCATTTTGAAACAAGAAACTCCGAAACAGTGCAGAAAAAAGCAAGCTGACTGCGTTGAATAACGCACTCAAGACACAAGCTTTGACGCGCGAAGGTTTTGCATGTGCGTTGGCCATCTACCTCTGAGCTGTACTGTATTTTCAAAAATTCATTTCTTCAATAATAGAAGTTTCACTTCCTTGAAATTTTCAGCACACACAGTACAATCATGTACATACACTCACTGGAACAATTACATGTACCAGTATTTTCGAGGTTTTGGTAACCCATTTGGAGGACCTCTAACACCCAGGGTGCATACACCGTTTGGGAGGAAAACAATCTTTCTAAGATTACTCTAAAAAAGAAGCTGAAAAAAGACTCACATGTAGGTGGAAGTACTTACACTCATTGTGTCCTGTGCAGCTTTTGAGAGAACTCGTTGATCTGATAGAAAGTAACTCATCAACGAAGAAAAAAATCTAGGCAGATGGTTGTAGCAAAGAGTAGCATCTAATCTGTAAGGAAAAAGGTTGATATACAATGTACAAGTACCAATTGTTACTGTATCTTAGTGAAGCTCTGAATTGAATTTAACAACTAGCTGTACACCGATGATTTAACGTCACAAATGCAAATTACACTATTGAATCTACATGTAATTAAGATAGCATTACCAGAACCATTTTCATGCATAATGAAAAGAGCTACAGTAAATCTTTTCCAAATTTACAGCATTTGCACTTCAAGATCTAAAGACCCTAAGGTTCACACTCATACCTTGCGAGGTTAACATAAGCCTTCTCCATAGTTGAAATCCAAGCTTGTGATGGATTGCTGTCATTGACACTAGGCTGGTAATCATATAGAGCCTGATACAAGAAATGCATGATGTTTCAAAAAATTAATGACTTACATTGCAAATTTTATTTGCTACTCAGCGCAGTTCTCAACTGAGTGTTGAAAGCCAAAACCAAAGTACAATATGGCTATTCCGAAAAAGAAGTATGGCATCATGATGAGAACTCAAACTGAGATGCTGGAGAATAGCAAGTGACCTTTATCTCAATGGATTTTAAGTTTGCATACAATTGGTTGACAAGGTGGTTGCAAAGTTTTCAGTATAACAGGACAAAGTAAAACAACTCTAATGCAAACCAGGTTTACTTTTGACACTAAGTTTTGAACACTACCTCAACAGCTCTTTCACCAAACAAATCCTTACTGTATTTATTGCTGAGTAAAATGTGCTTAAATTATAACAATTTGTACTCTGTCTTCTTACATTGATTAGCTGAGCATTAAGCTGCTTGCTCAGTGTTGTGGTGTCAGGGTTTGCACAGAGCAGCTTATAAATGGCTTGAAGAGAATTCACTGTCACCATCTGGAAAAAAAGAAACACACATCTTATTACATGAGCCAGAGGAGAAGCAGACAGAGTTTTTGAACTTTGAATTACTGCAACACAGTACTAACAGTGTAATGCAAGTACAAGTACAGCGTTCTATAAGACATACCACATTTCCTAATGTCATCAGCTTTAAAAGGCACTCACAAATGGTCTTCACATTCTTTGAAAAGAAGGAAAAAACATTATTAACCCTTTAAGTCCCACCAGTGACCAAGACAGAATTTCTCCTTACACTATCAGTATGATAGCAAGCAGACAAGTAATGAGAATAAAGAAAAACATAAATAAGGGGATTATTGGTTGATCTAATTTAAAATTCTCCAAACTAACATCAAATGAATTGTATAGGAGACAGTAAGGAGAATCACAAATGGAATCTTGGGAGTTAAAGGGTAAAAAAATTCAAATTATTAAGCTTGTTGCTAAAGATGGGTTCTGTACAATAAAACCATAATAATAATTTCAATTCATGCAATCTTTGTGCAGGTACATTCGAAGGTGCAGTACATGTGTACTGCCCTTTAGTTTATACTTAAATATAGGCACACTCAGAGCAAAAGACTTTGGATTCTAAATTTCATTCCCCATGTTTGTATTGCTGTTTGGCTCTCCTTCCCCAAACCTGACAATACAACCTTGACTTTTATCAAATTTAATTTGCGGCTGGATTTGAAAATATTGAATATGAGTTAAAGAAGCACTACAAAATCAAATAAAAACTTCTAAAAACAAAGAACCTTGTCAAGGAGCCATAACTTTACTGACTAAAAAAACTTGTGTGTTTTGCCACCAACTAATTCCCTAAAATGGCAATAAAGTCAATCACTGCACATTATGATCAATTTTTGTATTTTATGTAAAATTTAAGAATGACAATGAATTTTTAGGGAACTTTAAAATCTGACCCACTAAAAAAAATTCAGGAACATTACAATCTCTACAATTTAACTCTACAAACCTGTACAGGAAGACAAGGGAGTATTTCCTTTAGAATACCAATGATGTGTAAAGTGGTGGCTGCACCTTGTGAAGACCCTGTAAGGAGAGACCATGCAAGAATAAAGAAATTGAGTTGGGATACAATAAACCCAACAGGTTAAAACATTATTGCTGAATGCAATGTTTGCTTGATGCAATGTCCTCACATCAGCACTTGGACTTAACTGTATTCTTTTGTATAGGGTACAGTCCATGCAAGTGACTGTGCAGCAAGTGAACCCTATTAAGGAAGTCTTCACTAACCAGGCACACAACATTTTGATTTACAGTTTCAACAACTCTACATTTTTAAAACTCTGATGATATAGACTTCCACTGAGGAAACTAAAATGTCAGTCCATTCCCACTACAATAGTCTTTTTTCAATTTTTTTCACACTAAGGCAATATTATGACATACAGTAATTGATAACTTAATCATCATGCCATACGAGTAGAAATGCATACCTCCATTTTCTTCGATTTGTTGAACACAGAATTTAGCTGTTGCCCCACAAGCAGGGTGATGAGTCATATCTCCTGGTGGCTTCTCTAACAGTACTTTAACTGCCTCCTGTGCTGCTTTTCGGACCTGCAGTACAAACAGATGGCTGGAAATTATCAAAAACTGTGCATGAAAAGGAATTTTATTCTTATGGTGTTATATTGGGAAAACAACTTCTTGCTACAATGTTATTAGTTTGTTCATCCACATCTTGAACAAATTTATTTTACAGGTACCAGGGGCCATTCACTGATATATAGGGAAGTAACAAGTTAACTCCTAACATCCTAACATCAGTATGCATATTCTTGGTACTGTTCTCCATACATTTCCTAACATGCTGACAAGGAGAATTTGTTTAACAATCAAGAGATTCTTTAGTTGGTGATTATTAAAGGAAATTTTCCTTTATTCTTGGGACCTTAGTGTATGATTCTGAGGTGAAATTGTAAGAAAAAATTAGATACAAGTCACTCTTGGGGTCACAGGGATAATCGTTTCTAAGAGTCCCATGTACATGTAGGGCACATCCGATAAGTTCTATGTCCATAACGGTTGACTCTTGTTTGCTCTAAATGAAGGTAGTAAGGGGTAAATTCAGTCGACAATTTTCCTTTCCCTTACCTTTGGTTTACTATGAATCACAAAGCTCAATACTCCACTGTAGGTTGTCATTGTTGATGATTCTGACCAAACAGCTCCTTCCTGAACACTGAGTAATCTGCACAGACAGGCAAGCAGCTGGGACAGAAAAAAGAAAAAATTCTCTTGCATCATATCAAAGGATAAATATACATTATAAAACTTCAAGTATAACTGTAATTAGTTAATAGTTGTGCCAAAACTTTGTCTCATGATGAGACATGATGTGAAATTGCACTTTACAAACATTACACAACCTGAAGTCCATATATTTGTACAAGGAAACAAGAGAAAGGGAGGCTTAATTATCCATATGTGAGGGCATGTAGGCATGATAATTGGTCCTGATTCAAATGAACACAGTCCCTTCCCTTTGAAAAACAGCCATCAAAGCTGATACACTACATTTCAATACACAAGAAAGGTTAGTACAATATTATACTGTATATACTATGTACATAAGCTCAAGGACTTTACTGCCTAGTCTGTTGCTGAATTTTGCAGGCCACTTCAGTTATAAAGTCAAGATGCCATCAAGAAGACAACAAACCATAAATGAAACCTACACTTGGTCCCAAGTCCTAAGAACAAAAAGGACATTTGCCTCCTTCAAAATGTACATGTTACAAAAACCTGTAAATCATGATATTAATAAATATGATTAAATTACATGGACACTGTTTCAGTCTTATTAGTAATAATGAAATGTAATGCAAGTGGTGTTTGGAACCTGAGTTTGTTCTACAAAGATATATATTTTGCATAACAAGTGACACTGAACACTTTACTAACAGGTCTAAGAAGTCCTGGGGTTCCCTCAGCAGCATGAGATGCCATTATCTTGACAAGAACTTGACAAGACTTGGAGAATTTTGATTGAAGAATAGCATCAGGGACACTGGAAAAAAAATGAGAGAGTGAGAGAAAAAAAAGATTTTGTTTTGAAATTTGCAAAGAAGTTTTGTCCTTCAACTTAATAAGACAATCATTTCTACCAATGTCCGTTGTTGATACATCTTGTAACGTTTTGAACTGCCACAGATAAAAGCTTGTGAAAACTTCAAATTAATAACAATATTTTTAATAATAAGGTCATGGGTTCAAATCCTGTACAGGCCTGAATTTTTTATCAAGCCTTCTTTTCACTACTGCTTAAGTAGTGTTCATAACTGCGAAGATTGCTTTCATATTCACGTCTTTATCCGCAGTTCAAATATATGACTTTCATATATTCACAGACGTTTATTCACGGCTTCATGAGTTTATTTGGAACCAACACTGTGACCAGCTCCCAGTTGGCTTGTTGGCTCAGTTGGTAGAGCACTGCATAAGGTTATGGGTTCAAATCCCATACAGGCCTGAATTTTTTTCAGGCCTTCTTTTCACTACTGCTAAAGTAGTGTTCATAACTGTGAAGATTGCTTTCATATTCATGCCTTTATTTGCAGTTCTAATATATGACCTTCATATATTCACAGCCTAATATATTGTGAATAAAGTAATATGTCCCCAACTGGTTAATACCTATCAATAAATCAGTATTTACCCTTTACGAGCATCATTCCTTATATTCAATTACACAACTTCGTACCTTTTAATAACTAAACTCAACAAAAATGTTATTGCTACTATTGCTTCCATCTCATCAGCTGACTCTAAAGCAGTCATCTTCAAACAAAAAGGATGGAAAAAAACATCAATACAAACATTCTGTACCTTACTCTGTACTGATTGGATTTTTAACTTTGAGAAAACCAATAGTTACTGTATAGTCTAAACATTTTTAAAGATTAGATTTTCTTTGTATATTTAGGTGTTTGTTGGGAGAATTTGGTCATTATATGTTGGTCAGTCTTCATCCTTGCCAGCTGGTCTGTTTTTGTTATTTTCATTTGGTCTTCAGAGACCATAAAATGAGCGAGTGACAAAACAATAGCATTAAACACTGTAACCATGTGTGGATATTCTTCCTCTGTCACAAACAGTATAATATATGTGCAGAACTATGAATGCCCTTGCAGACCAAAATTCAATAAAAACTAAAATTTAATATAAAATTGCCCAGTTACAAAGGAAATTTACACCAGTTTTTCCTCCACACTCCAGCAGACAGCAATAAGTCATTCATTGCATAACCTCATGACTTAAAAAGGGACATCTACTCCTTAAATATACACTATTTATCTGTATGCTTAACGTGAGACATTCTCAGAAGGCTGAATTGAATGCATGAGAACTTAAAGTTATTTTATTAAGTAATAACCTACACTGTAAACTTAGATCACCTACAGTGAAAGCAATGACCACTTCCATTATCACATTTTTGTATTCACAACTATGAACAACTAATAATTATTTTCTGTATGAGTTTATCATGGCATGCATATCCAAAACTATAAAATTTAACATACCAGGGCAGCAAAATACTCTGTTTCAGATTCCTTGCCACCTTTTGATTTGATAACCTACAGAATTAAAAAATGGATTTAATTTTATATATCTGTTATGATATAGTTACCACTGACCACAGATACACCAAAATTCCCCTACAGTACAAACTTACTCTGTGCATATGACTGTTATGACTGTCTCATTAGAGACCATGTTTTAAACCTTCATTGGGCAATGTTTGCCTTTACCATTCACAAATGCCTCAAATTTAAAAAATATATATAATTATATATATATATGTGTGTGTGTATATATAATATACATGGTGTGAAAATAAAATAAAATAATTCTTGCAAAAATCTTACCTCAGTGACTGCAGCCAAAACAGCACAAACCTGGAAGGGAAATTAATTCATCCATGAACTTCGTTGTGTTGCTCATAACACACAAATCTGTACTTGCTTTTATGTAATAAAACAATCCAGACCTAAAAACAATCATGTGTCATGCACACACACAGCATGCCTGTAATGCGCACAGATGTTTAAAACTTTTCTTTTGGTATTCACTTAACTTCCTGAGATTTCTACAAAAGGCCTTGTCAATTAAGCCTTCAGTCATTATATCTACATACTGTAAGATTTTATACCATTAACTAATGGCGTAATTTGGCTTAGTTGGTGTTTTTCATACTGTAAGATTTCACGACAGTAACTAATGGCATAATTTCTTCAGATGGTATATATATATGTATATTGTAAGATTTTACACCATTAACTAACAGTGTAATTTCTTCCAGTCGGTAATTTATATATACACAAGTAAGATTTTACGCCAGTAACTAACAGTGTAATTTCATTCAGTTGTTATATATACATATTGTAAGATTTTATGCCATTAACTAACAGTGGAATTTCTTTCAGTCAGTAATGTATATATCCTGTAACATTTTATAACAGTAACTAACGGCGTAATTTGGCTCAATTGGTGTTTGATATACTGTAAGATTTTATGTTGTTAAATTATGATGCAATTTTATTCCAGTTGGTAATGTACATACTGTAAGATTATATGCCTTTAACTATTAATGAGGTTTTTTCTTCCAGTTGATATATAAACATACTGAGTGATTTTACACCATTAATTAAAAGCTTAAAATCTTACAGTATGTGCAGATGGTGGCATAAAATCATACAGTCTATAGACAGTGTGAGTCACATATCATGCCATTATCTAATTACTGCACCACAGACCATTTATTTTATGAATGGTTGGAACATGAGAGTTGGAGTGAACTGCAATATATAATTGTCCTGGTGAGAGTCGTACTGTAAAGAAGAGTTGACAGTGACATTGATTGATTTTCCTATAACTTAAGTATTCAATTTCTGAAAATTTCGGTCCCTGTCATTGACAACAGTCCTTCCCTGCAAGACTACACTAGATATTAAATCACACTACAGTCACCTCATGATCACTGTAGGAATAACAGCCCACGTGAAACAAAAATATGTCTCAGTTTCCTGAGATGTATATTCACCGATGTCAGAGTCAGTTTTCGATGGAAGCTTAAATCAAAACGCTTTCAACTGACCTCTTTGTGTTGTGATGAAGGAGAATCCCAAAATCTCTTGACAGTAGCGAACACAGGATTGGAACAGTCCGTTAAACCACTAATGCTGAAAGCACCAAACGTTTGTCCACTCTTCACACTGAATCCTTCGTCTTCTTTAAGCTCCACGTCGCCATCGTTATCGTGTCTTTCTTCATGTTTAGCGAGAGCTTCAACAGTTAAATTAGAATTCTGAGTTGAACGACCTGTGATGCTTCCTCTCTTTGCTGCCGTTCTGTACTTTCTCGTTGCCGGATTTGACTCGCAGCTTTGGCCTTTTCGCCACGTTTTGTGCTTTCCTTTTCGTAAACGCACCATTTTATGAGTCTGAAGTCTTTAAAACATGATAATCGGGCCTATTTTTCAGACTGTTAATAAACGCTGTTTACGAAATTCGAGTGATCCTCGTGGTCAACACGAGCCTTCGCACTCTTTTTGAGTGAACAGCGGGGTACCAAAAAAAGTGTCACGTAATACTAATGTAGTGTATCATTACGCAAAAGTGCTTTAAAAAGCGGGATAAGTTTCTAAGGAAACAGTGGTGCTGCGTCAGTGGAGGAGGATAACAAGGTAAGTTGGTATAATCAACTGAGTTGATAACATAAATTGGCCACTGTTAAGAGTTTCAAAGCTAACGTTTCGAGCGTTAGCCCTTCGTCAGGGCGAAGAGAACGAAGTGCTAACGCTCGAAACGTCAGCTTTGAAACTCTTAACGGTGGCTAATTTAAGTTATCAACTCAGCTGACAATACCAAATTACCTTGTTTAAAAAAAGCGGTCACTCCCGCGCAAGAACACACGAATGAGGAATCTCCTCACAGAAATCGTGCGATCTCAAAGCTATAACACCTACGCGATTCAGTGGAGTTAGAGATGGACAAGATGAATTCAGTCCGTTTAAATTTTCTTCTTTCTCATTTCCTTTTAACCCTTCGCACCTCAACATCAGTATGCAAATTCTCCATACTCGTTGCATTTCCTGTGGTACTTGTAGGGAGAATTTGTCAAACAATCAAGAGATTTTTGAGTTCGCGATCATTTCCTTTACTCTCGTGACCTTGCTGCTTGATTCAATGGTGATACTGTTGGGAAATATTGGATGATTATAACTCTTAGTGATCGTTACGGTGACAAAATATTATTAATGATTGACAATGATTACAAACAAAGTAATTGACACTTTTAGTCGTTTCACATATCAAGTTCATTAGCTTTCAGTTCAGTTCAGTTCTTACACGTGTTTCCTAACCAGTTTTATTGAAGTTACACCGAATGATCAATTTAACGGGAAACCGGCGACAGAAGTTAGTTTCAGTTAGTTTAGCTTGTACTGTCGGTTTATTATCCACTTTCATAATCGGTGTTGTAAATACTCGAATGTTTCACAATTACATTGCTTAATTGTATGTTTCAGATCGAGTAATTCCTTCAAATAAACTTGTTGATTATACGATTGATGGTTTCCCGGCGTTTTTGTATCAATTATCCAACGGTCCAGTGATGAAAGGGTTAGTTGGCTTTTTCCTTTTTTAATAATCCGATGTACGAGTCATATGTTATGCAAACGGTCTTCATTCAGTACTTGTTACGTCGAGTAACAAAACGAAAATCGTTTACAAATAAAGCATTCATTTCTCAGGCTCAGAACTTGTTTCCTCTGTAAAACCCAAGTTGCTAAAATAAAAAGAGCCTGGACGACGGGCTTGATTTGACCTTTCCTCGCATTACATTTGCCTTCTCAAAAGAAAGCCTCTGCTAAAAAACTGTGCTCTCCATGTAGATACTGTGTAGGGTTCAGATTTGCTTGGCGATTGTGGAGAGTAGTGGTATTTAACTAACTGCAAGTAAATCACTCGACTAACGTTGCTCTGGTCAAGGGCCAATTAACGATAATGTAATCTTTGAACCCTTTCACTCCCAAGATCTAAGTAGTAATTCTCCTTATTGTCTGCCATAGAATTCCTATGATGTTAGCTCGGAGAATTTAGTATTGGATCAATTAATGTTTCCCTGATTGTTATTTATATTATTACGATTCACTTGTCTGTTTGATATTTTCTGGGAGAAATTCTGTCTCAGTCACTCACGGGAGTAGAAGGGTTAACGAACGATAAAACTCTGCTCTAGGGGTTAAGAAAGCTCAATGTTCCAGAAAGCTCGATACCATGTATTTGATAAAGAATTTCGACAATACTCCTAATTTCAGTTTACCAATGTTCTTCATACTCGCATGGCCGTGTACTGCCGACTTCAAATAGTTCAGCGCTTGAGTAAATCTCCTTGATTGTTTCACAGGCTAGATTATTCTTCCCCTTAGTTTAATCTTGTTCTAAATTAACTTGTCTCAAAAGGGAAATATAAGTTCACGGTTTTTTTGGCTAAGTAAATTCAGTTTATTTAATGATTTACGAGCTCTATACTTGAATTACGATTGCAAGTTACTATACCAGGGCAACAGAAAAGCGCTAAAACGATGATACTCTTAAATCCAATGGTACTCGGCCGTTTCTTTATTTGTCTAACTCTCCTAATGGGATAGACTTATTTAAAATTTTATTATTAATTTTTTTTAAAAGACATCAGTAAGGTTAAATAGTGCGTAGAAGATCTCACCGCCAGTGACAATTATATCATCCAGTTAGAGGGCAATTAAGTACGTTACATTACAACACCGTCGCAAGGGTGAGGCAGGCCTTGTGCTGGAGCAATTATACCGTGATGACTTAACTATTACAGCGCATGGTCTTGTACGTTTTGCTGAAGTGGGTGATGTTCGTTCAGCAATCCGTTGCGCATGTTCAAATCTCGCCCTTCACCGATTGGATTTTCGCGAATAGTGTACCTATCAACCTTGTGTGAGTTAGATCTCCTAAATGACCACGCAATCGACCCAGTGCGATTTGCATGGACGTTTCTTCTGGAGAGGGTGATTGAAATCCTTGATAAACGCCTTTCAAAGCGAAAATTGCACTGATTAATAATTTTGCGGAACTCCCTTTGAAAGTTATGGCTGAGTAATATGTACAAGAATGGGTCTATTGCGCTGTTTGAGTGCGAAATCCATAGAAGTAAAGAAATCGCATAAGGTGGTATTCTCGAAACGGCTTCTTTTTGGAAAGTGACGTAGTAGTGAACGGCGTGGGCTGGAAACCAGCAAATTGCAAAAGCAGTGACGATCATTACCATCACCTTGGCAACCTTGCGCTTTGATTTTTCCACTCTGTCTCTAAAAGTTGGCGAACGGGACATTCCAGGAATGCTCCGATTGTACAGTTTGTAGCCAATGATCGTGTAAAGAACAGTTATGATAAGAAGTGGCAGCAAGTAAAGTAAAGCAAATAGCGCAGCATAGTATACTTTAGAGAGAGTATCTGCCAGCTGCGGATCTTGTCCAAAATATTGACTACACGACCATTTTATTTCTGGAGAGGGGAAAGGGGTCACTTTGAATATTACTATTATTGGGCTAGTAACTATGGCCGCACAAATCCAAATTGTGGCTGTCATCTTTTTGGGCTTTCGAAACAGCTGTCCTCTCATGGGATGACAGACGGCGAAGAACCGATCTATAGATACCACCAGTATAGTCAGAATGGAGGTAGCAATGGGAAATACAAATAAATATTGAGAGATCTTGCAAGTGACAGTGCCTGAAATTCCCGAGAGCCAATAGTGCCCGTTGTACAAGAAAGATACTGACGTAGGAATTACTATGAAGACAATGAGCAAATTGGAGCAAGCGAGGTTGGCGATTAGTAAGTGAGTGGCTGCTTTGATGCCGCATTTCTTGCAGATGATGTAGAGTCCGAGGGAGTTTCCAATGAATCCAATGACGAAAGTTATTGCATAGAGCGTTGTTATCAGGATCATCAAACTGTCAGACATTGATCCATCATGGAGTCTGTCTGGGCCCTCTGAAAACGAAAGAGATACATGTCTTCTCGAACGTGAACAACACCGAAAGAAAATAAACTGCCTCATTGACTGCTGTAGCAATGCAGGAACTGTCAAACAGAGAAAATCTGATGGGCAACGTCTACGTTACTTCCTCGTGATAGTAAGTGACCTAATTAATACATTAGACTGGGGCCATTGCTGGTGAAAGGCCTGCTAACAAGATGTTAACTTAAGGTGCTTAAATGATTCAACTAGCGTAATCTTAATAAAAAGATAATGATCAAGAGATGGATTTCATTATGGAAGGCTCTGGAAACCTAGCCGAGATTCCAGCTTTAAAATAGACTCAAATTGCGATGGAGCAATCACCTTGGCCTGTTTCAGGTATTTAGTAAGTAAAACGAAACGCACTAGTCGTTTTGAAGAAAGAGGGAGGTTTTGCTATCCCTAACTTTTTCACCCCTCCCCTATGCGACGCCGTTTGTTATTTCGCTCCGTTTTACTTCTAACTAAACGCTAAGAAAAGGCCTCACTGATCTTTACGGTCTTCAGTAAATTACATTTAACTTTGGGTTCGTATGAACAGCACTTTAAATATGTTCCGGCCTGAGATTAAAACACAGCGGATGGTAAAAACCTTGAGGAAAATCTGGCAATCTGCACGTTAGTAAATGATAAAGTGGCCATTCTGCAAAGGCTATCAGATTGCCAAATGATTTGTCATCTTAAGATAAGAAATGGCTCATTAATCTCAAAAACATGTTTTCAGTTCTGTTCATACCAACTGTAAGGTCATTAAAAGCACAAACAATTGATCAGTCGCTCTTCGCTTTCCCTGTGGACTTTTGTATAAAGAGGAGTTACCTTTAGCTATTTAAATAGCCTTGTGATAGAGAGAGAGTCAAATTTGAACATTTAAAACGGACTCTAGTATTTGCCTTTTACATTGTCGCTAAGAGAGGCCACGATACACTTAGAGGCTATGGGCGCACAGATACTCCCCACCAAAGTCTTGAAAATGTTTTGGAAATCTATGAAATGGGAGAATAACAGCCCAGAACCAACATAACCTTCCTTTACGATAACGCTTTCGAATTAAATTCGGTTAAAATGAATATATCTTGTCTTTTCTTGTTATTTGCTGCGTTTTTATATTTTTAACTTCGCGCACAGTCGCGCCAAGGTTTACCAGTAATGATGTATATTTGATGTAGCCTAGAACAAACCTGTTGTCAAGTTTGTATCGTTGAAAGAAGAGTTTTCGTCCATCATAGTGATGTAGTTTTGTTATCCCTAGAAAAAAATCATTAAAAATTCCGTGAGAAAGCACTAGAGCTGGACTTCCAAAGGGATCGAGAATATTAATCCACTTTGGATCTCTGTTCTTTTCCGCTTTTTTTTGCACAATTCATATCTCGGGGGACAAACCAAAACCTAAACAACGCCACCGCAGAAAATCAGGCTGTTTTCCACCCATTGTTCTAAAGGCACAGACACAAATGCAAATTTAATGCGAAAATTCCAACCCAACTTTAACCGTTATAGCATCCACTCAGTACACGATAACACTCGAATATTTTGTTTGCTCCTTTTTGTAACCTTATATGTCCATCCTGACTGTTTTCATGCCAAATAATAATTATTATTACGAAAAAAACACAAGTATTGAGAGCATGTGCCCCAGGTTGCAAGCTGAAACCTGTTCTTTTCTTCCTGGTGGCAACATGTAGCGATGCCATCGATAAATATTGTTAATTAGATCGGATATGTGAATTGTCCCACGAGCGTGGAAAATTTCAATCACTTTACGTTGTCGTGATGTATCACATCAATATCTTTAACAAATTAATTGATATCATCTTGTTTTTGATGCAATCCAGACGTTTATAGTTGCAGTTATCTTGCGGGGGTTTATCATGAAACTTCTTGAACAGAAGAAATTTAAGACACCTTTATTGGAATGCCGTAATTGAGACGTTTCATGATATATATATATTGGGCTTCTTACTGTGCATTTTAAAATTGTTTGCTTACTAAATTGGACCGATCTTATCGGGCTAATATTGGCAATCCTTAACTTTGATGAGAAAGGTAAAAGTTTTCTAGGAACTAACCAAATCAAAACAAGTTGTTTTCCCGATTGGCTGTTCTGAGAACCTCATCCGTTGAGCCAATATTCTGGTAAACAAAGAAAGCCGAAGCTATTATTGAACATTTTAGCTCTAACTCCTTCTTCTTTCCTCTTAAAAGAGGTGAGACGCATTAAAGGTGTTATGCAAGCAAAATTTGGTATTGATAGGAATGTGGAGTGTTCCAATAAAACTTGACTGAGACTGGGGTCGGTAGGTTGAGTTACAAGAAAGCTGACAAGATTGTTTTACATCATAACTCTGTAACTCCTTAAATTTGATAAGTCAAGAGTTGTTCCCAAGCCAGGAAAAACATTTGTAGTTCACGCACGAAGATAGCACGCGACTCAAGAGGGCTTACTCTTGTTTTGCAAGATAAAGAATTGACAAACAAAACCTACAACAAAGTACTTATTTAAAGATGCAACATCACCTTCTGATAGTGAGCCAGCGAATTAACAAGAATGATAATCAATTGCTCGGGAAAGTCCTCCTTTTAATCTGACCACACCTCAGAACATGTCAGGCAACACTAGAATAGAAAGAAAATTTGTTAGATATTCTCATGCAAAGCTTTGTCGCCGACATCTTCCTGAATGGCGGCTTCAATACTCAGTAGTTAAGAACAAATATATTTTTCTTTTTTTTATTATTATTATTAAAATCTAGGTTACCTTTACAAGACTTAGATATAATCCACAGAATACAATGGGGTATAATACAAGAAAAAGAAACTAAGAGCAAATACGGCCTCGGAAATGATTCTCGTCAGGAGTAATGGGCTCCTGTTCTCGTTCACATTCAGTCTGCTTTCTAAACAAACTCCATCATCAACTCTTTGTTGGTGAACAAGGTCAATGAAAGGTGTCAACGGAAAATGTTTTGCCGAAAAACGCTTTAAGAACCACTGAGAATTAACATAAATCGCTTCCTTTACGTTAAATCGGTTTTACCATGAGTCAAAATATGGGTTGCCCTTCGGGTCACTCTGTCGTTTATCTTCGCTTTGTTCCAAAAATGGCCCTATCCAGTTGTGCGTTTTACAAACACATCGCCAAAATGTTGTACACCATTGACAAAATATTTTCAACTCAGTTTTGATAAACAAAGTCTCAAAAGATTTCACTTAGTTGTATGCAGCTATCGTGGCTTTGATGTTGGTCAGCAGAGCTTCAGGCATCGTCGATAGAAAGATGCCTCTAGTATCATTTGCCTTGAATCTTGACGAATTGAAGGTTCGAGATTACAAATAACAATTAGGAGATGGCACCAGATGAAAAGACGAGACAATACAAAATTATCCCAAATAATAACAAAAATTGTCTATTGTAAACGTTGGGAAAAGTACTTTGGACTTTGCATATGTTACTCCTTGTGCACAAATAATCGAAGACATATGAAAACTACGTACATTACCACCGAAGAAATCTCTGCCTTCACGAACTGAGCTTTATCGCCAACTCGACACTTTCTCCATAAATTTAGTAAAATCATTCACCTAGCTGGCAAATTACAAATTCAAGGAAAATAATCAATCGGAAACACTCCTGTCAAATACCATATATTGCGTCGGATACCCTGATGGCTTTCTGTTATGTTTCGTTTAAGGTTGTTCATCGAAAAATGAGAGAACAACAGAGGTTATAAACTGAATCTAGGATCAGCTGTAGGATTACCCCTTCGTCGAAAGGTATAATTTAATTATTATAAGGTCATGTAGGCGTGACCAAGATAAGTGCCAACTGAAAACGAAGCCGACATCAGTCGTTTGTCCGTCAATACCGAGCAATCCGTGTACAGCGTTATTCAAATCAGGTCTCATCCAAAACCCGGGCTGTTATAGCTTCTTTCTTTGATACAATTTCTTCGTGAATGAAACAGATGTTCATCAAAACTTCATAACTTCCTACCTTTGACGCAGACTTTGGCTGACTGATCAAAACAATCCCCAGGAAGGAAAAAAAATAGCCGATTTAGTTAATATCTTACTCATGATCACTTTGACAAACTAATGGAATAGCTTATGCAATCTTATCAAACTGTCTTCGCGATAATATTTACCAAATTAATTCTTGAGTGGTTTGCCGTCAACCGCGAACAATGCTTCTTTGCATGTTTTGGTCCTAGAAATCGGATGGTTGCTGAGCTGAGAAACGTAAGGTCACTGAGATGTTTCCGATACTGCCAGTTCAACAAACAAAATTTTCCCACGATTAAGGAAATGTGTAATAGAAAACCACTTCGATGCCAAGACGGATATCTCCAAAGGAACAAACATTTCCCAAAGCACTCTTAAATTATTGCAGTGTCACGTGCGGAAATCTAAACAATGCGCTTTGGGTCACGTTTTTCACCTATGAACACTTTATTTCAGGCTGAAGCGGATAAAGAACTCTCTTCAACCAAGACGTGGGCCCTTCAGAAGAGAAAAAAGCTAAGAAAACTCCATATACGATGCTCTTGTCACTCATTCTCCCCTAATGAGGATAATAAAAAAAACTCTTCCCTGCATTCACTGATGCTGAAATGGACGTTTTCAGAGTTCAGTAAGCTTCAATTGTAGAGCACAATATAAACAAATTAAATTATTTCAAATTGGATGAAGCAAAACTACTTACATTTGAATTTATTGGAACTGATTTCTTCCACACGCAATCGTAACAGAGTTCGCTTATCGATAACTTGATTTATATATATATATTTTTGAGAACCTTTCGGCAATGTAGACATGATTATTCTTATCAACTGATTATAAAGATGTTGTGGGAATCAATTTGCATTTGAATTCTTCATCGACCTCTATCAGAATACCATCATTTTTCAAACAAAAGACTGTGGATTTTTTTTTCCTCAACAGTTATCCCGCTAATCTTGAAAAAAATTCAACCAAAGCACCAACTGAGCGAGTCTCACAAACACCGCGGCCATAGTTAGCAAGTTTCAAATTTTTCGTTTGCATGCAGCTTACAACCGTCTTTCACACCAGCAAAACATATTTAGTTAAATCGGGCTTTGCTAAACGAAAATCAGAGACAGAGAACTGAAAGAAAACCTGAAGTTGCCATAGCTTTCAAATGCAATTGGTCGCCAGTAGATAGCTTGTGTTTTCAATGTACTAAATCCGAAGTCCAAAAGCATAAGTTTAAGGAGCTTCTATGTGAAAAGGACACATTTAAACCGTGTTGAACAAAACAGCTTAAAAATATGAATAAAGCTTTGTTGTGCATGGCGTATAAGTTAGAAACAGCACTACTAAATTTTCTCTTGACTGGATGAATTTAAGGTATCATACATTTTTTTTTTACTCTGTTTGTCGAATCGCTACCATCTTTTAAGACTTGATCATTCTATTTCATCGAAGAAGGACACACTTATTTTAAATTTAGTGTTTGGTAAAATAAACTTTCACGTGAAATACTTCGTTCAAAGAGCGGTGACATTTTTTCCTCGGCTATTTAACCAAAGCATTAATGCAGAGTTATTACTGATTTCGATTTTTTCAAAAATAAATTTCAAACACAAAACAATTATCTTACTTTATCACATCCGATGTAGAAACCCTATTTAACTAAGATATTTAGTCTATTTACGATATTGAATGCGAGAAATTGTTCTACTTTTATTATTTTTTCATACCCGATTTTATACTGAATCCAAGTAAAAATAGCTGAGTGTCCATTCGTGATTTTTGTCTCTTTTTGGTCGGGAAAAACTCGAAAAGAATTCAATAATCCTGCTGTTTTTCAAATTTCCTTAGGATATCTGTACCATCTATAAAGTACTCGCTTATCTCCTTATATCCAGTGTTCTTTTGTAAGCTTAGAGGAGATAATGATATACTGGATTTCCTGCTTTTCTTCGATTTTGGTCTCCTTTTCGGACCATTCTCCGAATGGAAATCCCATAATACACAGGAAAATTACAGCAGCACGTAAAAATTACACATCTCTTTCATTGGTGATCTCGCATGCAAGAGATCAAGGAGTGTGGCCAGATGTTGCTGGCCAGTAATGCAAATGTAATTTTATGCTTGGCAAAAGAGGAAAGAAATATTGATAAAGAGACATGTGCCAATGTTTAATCGCACAAGTGTCTGTAAATAAAGACGACTAAGACTGTCATTTCTCTTTTAGTTAGAGTTATTTACTTGAAATTTTCAGTGCCTGTAAATCTTTCACATAATTTGATTTCTTTTGAAGGGATTTGTAGTCCCTGGATATATTTACTTTTTTAAAAATCTCCTTCGCCACTTTGGAAAGGATAAAGTATTTCTCCCAAGTTATTGACGGATGTAATAAACTTAAGATTGTCATTCAACCTGGAGCAATTAAATCAAAATGCCAGGCGGATTGATTTTTCAATTTCTACTTGAGTTTTTCTAAGTCATTACTTGATCCATTTGTTTGTCATGACAGGATTTAATAATTTGTTTTGGGATATATGATATTTGAAGCCCCTTCGGGTACTCTGCAACATCAATGCTACCGTCACTTAGAGAAAGAAATCAAAATACCTCAGTCTGTCTTTTTGTCAGGAGAGCTCGGCAAGATCACTTGAACCTTTTCTCTTCTTACTAAATCAACGATGCCTTCGATGACGGCGGCATCATTGATATTGGGACCGAATTTTCAAACTAGCGCTAGTTTGCATTAAAAAAGGCAATTAATGCGTTATCAATGATGACCGAGTTTATGACAATGGTACAGAAACTACAACAGGTGATGCTCTTTGGCACATAATGTTGAGAACTGAAGCACCGACTCAATTGATGGTCCAAACTGAGGCTGGCGTTAAGTGAGTCATATAAAAGCGCGGTGTGATTTCACTGACGGCGGTGGACAACTACAAAAGAACCTTTTAACTTAAAAGTACTTTTGCTAACAGTTAGTTGATCAGTTGATAGGACGAACAACAAAGAGAGCTCCAGCAAAAAGCGAGTCTTGGACGGGTTCAAAATCTTACTTTGTAGTCCAAAGGTTGTGTGAGCATCAAGTGAAATGCTGCAGTGCATAGTGCCAAAATGACACAGACACATAACTTCGGATTTTTTATAGCCTGTTTTGAACTTTTCATTGTAGTTTGGTTCTGATTTTTATGGTAATGGATAAATCTGCAAAATCTCGAAAAAAAAATCTAAAAAAGAGCCTTTGTTTCTTGTCACAAAGGTTGAATCACTATCAGGAATTCTAAGTTTGAATCGAGATTTACACTTTTTCCCGCTGAAAGTTCGAAATATGCAATCCCTTGTAACTTATACTGAAAGTGATGACCTCCAACAAGATCTAGTCATGCTATACAATTAGATATCATTGGACTGGACTAATTTCAATTAACGAACTTTTTATCGTCAGTAATTGCATTGTACAAAGGTTCATAAGAGTCCTTAACATCAGCATCTCACAAGTTCACTTTCTCTGAATATTTCTGGGCGATAAGTTCAATCAAAAACATTATTCTAGTGGAGGTCTAACTGACTGATGATTACTAATATCAGCAGTTTTACATTATTTTAGCACATTTGTGTCCCACTTACGAAGGCAATACATGGAGATGGAGCGACAGATGTTGAAGCAATGCACCTACGCTGGTTTACGATAGCCATATTGTATAGGCACTTAGCAGAGTTCCGCTCAAGGAGAGGCGAAGTAATATATCAAGTTTGTTGCTTGGTGACCATCACAGATCAGGGGTCCTTTCACGTAATGGGAGTTGAAATTAATAATAAATCAAGTATGTTGCCTGGTGACTGTCATAGAGGTCCGGTGCTTATCAAAAATTCTAAAAATACAACTTAGTTGTTGAGATATTCTTTGAGTATTAAGAATCCAAGTTGCGCACTTATCGTGAAGTTAGCGCAACATGGTTTCCGATGGAGTGCGTGAACTTATGTACTGGAAGACGTAACAGTTAGTTAATTAATTCCTTGTGTAAACATGACAAATAAGTGGTATTTCAGATGACTAAAGAGTGTAAATGAGAGGGACAGCCGTTGAAATGATCGAAGGTTATTGAAAATATTTGGTGCAAGTTTGTTGGTTGCTATATCACATCGCCACATATTGTTCTGCACTCGAAGCATCTAGAAGCATTCTATTTAAAGTGGTTGATTAGTTACTTTTGTTTATAAAACTAACAAAAAGATACCTAATTGATCAGCTATTTCAATAACGCAGAATTTGCAGTATAGAAGATAATAATAACTTATGGAGAGCTCCCTACAAAGCTATATATCTTGTGGTCTATGGGTTCGACGGAGAAGGATCATTGACCATATCCGATCAGAAGTTGGGTTTCCAAGCATTAACAAGAGTGTATCAAAGTGGTTTCAGGCTTTATCCGAAAATAGACAGAAATTTAGGTGATCAGGTCATCAAACCAAACGGATTTGTGTGAATTAGCAAAATTCTTTAGAGCAGACTGCAGTCTTAAAGTAGTGCTCCTCCAACCTCAGACAGAAGATGAATATGTAAGAATTGCATAAACACATTCCAAGAATAAGCAACCCTCGGCGAAAAATCAAGAAAGTCCAAGCTGGACATCAAAATAATACAGTTTTTGTGCGCGGGTTTAGATATGTTTTAGACACGACTAAGAGTCATTTCAGCCCGAGCTGCTAGGCGAGGTTTAAAGTAAGTCTGAGAAGAGCCCGAAACGTTTTTTGCCTAAGAACATAAATTGTGTCCCTATTATCATTACTTTGAAGGACATTGAAAAAATTAAGACCTAAAAAAATTAGCCATGAAAGAGTCTGAACAATCACACGAGTATGCGAGCGGACTAATTTGAAAATACAGTTTTAGCCCTCCAAAATCTCAATTTCAGCCCATGAAAGGCGTCACAATGTCCGACAAAGTTTTAATGATAAACAGTCCCACTTATCCATGCCATTCCAATCCACAAGAGTTCATATCTACTGACGGCAGATGTCAGAGATGCACATATGGCTTATATATAATCTACATTAAAAAGCTAAACGAACAAAACACAGCCTGTAGCTATAATAGTTTTCTCTACTTGCATGCCACGCACCTCACTGGATAAAAATAAGCTTGATGATTTTAGGTAACCCAGCTTATAGATGGGAATTAGAATTTCTTTACGATAAACGTCAAGTGTCATGTAAAGCCTTGAGATCAACTCACCTACTTAGTTGGAAAAACTGAGGAATTTTACCTCATTTCAAACTATCCTTGGGAAAAAGCTCTGCTCGATGTTTTTCATTTAAACAATAGGCCCGAGTTCAATGCTTGGTC